GAAGATGCTGCTGCTCTAAATCGAACAAAAGAGGATATATAATTAAAAACTAAGAAACAAATGAACAGAAGACGATGAAGTAACAGATTGTTTATTTTTGAACTGTGTCAAACAAAAAGTAAGCGCTAGCTATGTCAACTTTGCTTTCGCATGTAATCATAAAGTATTAATCTGTTGAATGATGCGACATGTGTCAAAAGCAATGTTTTATCTACAAAATGAAGTATTCCCAAGTATTTTCCATGACTAATGCAAATGACAGATCTTGTTATGTAAAATATGCATAGGTTTTGAACTATCTATTACATAATACCAAGAAATATTTCATCCGTTAGATAAATATTTAAAAAAATCTAAAGAAATGGTTGTGATACATGTCGAATCCTAATGAATACAGTGTATTTTTCTGTTCTCAGTAGACTATCAAGTTAAACATGTATTTTTAAAGATCAAAATTTCTTCTTTCTAACTCTTTGTAATTTAATCAAAAATGCTTAATTTTATAAAAATATATATTTACATTTGTTCATCATTATTTGTATTAAAACCAGGTTGAAGAAGTTTCATTAAATTTAAATAAGTTTTATAACATAAATTATTTGATGTTATTACTGAATATTTGCTTGATGAATGAACAATATAAAAAAAAGTACTTGCTGCTTCAGCATGAACAAGTATATACGGATAAAGTTCATATTTATCTTGTTTAATTTTATGATTATGATTAATAATTTCAATAAGTTCATCTTCTTCATTATTAATTCGATTTTTTTTTCGAAGAAAAAAATCTAAACCAATCATATATGATTCAGCACGACATTGAATAATATCAAAATTTAAATTTATTTTATTTAAACGAGATGAAATTTTCGATTCATATTCATTTGTTTGTTCACCTGTTAAAGCAATATTGAGAACAAATGATGAAGCTAGTAATGAATTATAACGTATGAATGATTGTATATGTATAAGAACAAGATCAAATTCTTCATGTGTTAAAGTAAATAAACGAAAATTTGCTTCTTGTTCAGTTGTTGTTTGTAAATCAACATTTAATATTGACCAATCTTTATGTTCATTATTAATAATTAATGATATAAGATAACGTTGAAAAACTATTGTAGAATAATCAACATTTTGAGGATAAAGTTCAAGTAAAACAAGATGTACACTAGTTGTTGTTATATTTAATCCAATAGCTGGTACATGACATGGAGATGATGAATTAAATGCTGTATTATCATCAGTAATTGTTTTATTTACTTCACAATTTGATAAAAATGAAGCTAATAAAAAAAAGGAAAAAAATTGAGATAGTAATGAATATGTATAGATCTTATGAATTAGATGAATATTAGAAAATTTCTTTCAAATGAATCTAACCATGTATGAAATTCTTTGCAAAGATAATTGGGATATTTTTGAATTGATTGGTTTTATTTTTTGGCATAAGAGTATTTGTTATGTATCCAAAAAAAAGTTTCTTCAGATCTGTTCCCTGTTTTATGTATTTTCTACTATGTCATGACGGATTATATAAAATATGAGCTTTATAATCATATAAACAATATTTAACTTTTTCAATGTATCCTTGTTATTTCAATACGTCTGTCCTTAAAATAAAAATAATCAATATTTGTCCGAATAGGTCTTTATATTTTGAATTTAATTTGCATTAGAATTTTTCAATCGTAATATAGAAGCAAACAAAACTATTTTTTCTTTCTTTTTTTTGAATGTCCGACATCAATATCCTTTGATCTAAGTTTGCTGACGTATTAAAATAAATGTCTAGACATGTATTAAAAAAAGAAAAAACGACTTACCAGTTTTAGTTAGTGGAGATGTTGGTTCATCAATAATAATAACTTGAGTTTCTTGTTCAGCTACTGTTGATATAGATGAATTTGATCTTGATGAAAATGCTGATGAATTAGTTGATGATGGTGATGACAAATCTGCTCCATCCATTGATAAAAAACTCGAATAATGTGATGATGATCTTTGATCATCAAGTTTTTTTGATAATGGTGGTGATTCCATATCTTCAACATTTTGTTTGTTAGGTAATTTTATATTATTACCTTTTGATAATAGTTCAACGAGTTTTGTTACTGTTTCAAATGTTTTAATTGGTCTTGTTATTGTTACATTTGATTTACATGTTGATGGACCACGTTTTGGTTTATAAAAATAATCACTATGTTCAGTACGTAGTCTATCAAATGAACGAGGAGATAGAGACCGATGAAAGAAACCTGAATAAGTACCATTGCCAACACCGCCTTCGTCTCCATTTTTAGTTGATGCCATTAGTTAAAAATTTGAATAAAATAAAAAAGAAACGGAGACGAAGATCTACAAGTTGTCTAAAGTTTTTGTTGTTTTTTTTTGATTGTAATAAGATGTGTCACAATTTTTACATCTAACAAATATAATGTTATAAAACCTGATTATCATATACGGTCTTAAAGGTGAATAGGATCAGATGTCATTGCGAAAAAAGATCGTTGTGCAATTGTCGTCACACAATCAATAGTAAAAAAAATGAACACAATGACATGATAATTATCGAATATGTGAAGAAAAAAAATCACAAACGTCAATAAACCACAAAAATCAAGTACGATTTAACCACAATGTCCCCACTGCTTATTTTAAAATAATATGATCATCTCAGACAACGTTGAAGCTTTTTTTTTACAGACAGAAAAAATAATCTTTCATAGTCGAGTGTTTTTGTAACATAATGGACACTACTCACACTGATGTGTTATTTTTTTAGCTTTTACAACCATCTATTGACGGAGCTATGAATAACAGTAAAAAATTGTTGTTGGTGCTGGCAAACTTCCTAGTATGTTAGATCAAATCTGTCCTTTTTCTCGCGTTAGCTGCTCTTTTATCCAATGGTGGCTGTTATCTATGGTATTTTTTGTTGTTGTTGTTTTGTCCGTATTTAGACGAGAAGAAGATATGACTCAAGGCGAATGTGGAGGTGAATAGAAACTACTATGATGGAAAATGTCTAATGAAAATACATACTTGATATCCCAGATCTTCTCATCGTTGAAATATCCATAAGGTGTAAATTATATTTAACTTAACATTGATGTGACGAACAAATGAAGATGAAAAAATATATAATTTACTATATTTAATATGTTGACAAAAGTGACAAAAAGTAGAGAGGAGACGAGAGAACAGAGGGAGCGAGAAAGAGTGAAAGCCGACACGATATTTTTTTTACAGTACAGTAAATGTATGTTCTTTCTTTCTCATGACATACCGCGCATATGCATCGAGACATAAAATAGAACGAACGAAGGTAAAGATGGACAGTAACGATGACACTGACAATGTGCTTAATTTGAGACATCCATAAATACAATAACCCTCATAAAGAGAATAAGACGAAAAAGTAGATAATTTTTTTTAAAAAGAAAACAATTGTCGCTGTATCGACGATAACCAGAACAAAATGTTGACGCGTGTATAGATATATCTATAGGAGACATTCATTAAAACCGGACTGATAAGCAAAGTATGAAAGAAGATAGATCATCATTACCCATTTTCAAAATAAAATAAAATAAAAAAAAGGAACAAAGAACTGTACTATATCTCATCGAAAAACTATGTATTAATCAAGGATTTTCACATATAATAACGCCTTACTTGATCCTATGATTAAAGACGAAAAAAAGAAAAGATCAAACGATTATTTAGAAGAGAAAGTAATCATTGAGCAATTAGTGATAATTTGTAAATGAGAATCATGAATCATGAAAAGTACACAATCATTCAGATCTAATCATCCTCTACGTTTGCAAATGAAACATATAGGTTTTTTTTCTTATGTAGAATATATCATATAAACCCATTTTTCATCTATTATCAGCACGTCAAGTACAATTGTAAATACAACGCAAATACCCCATCATATCTCAGGCAACGACACAAGTCATCAAAGAAAGAAAACGAAGATGGATACATCAATATATGTATTGTCTTTTTACCTGATTGAGAAAAAAAACAGATAATGTGGATTACGATTGGATCGATCAAAGAGCACCACAATAGGTAAGAAAAAAAATCGCATAAAAAAATGAGCAGGTAGATCGCTGATGTGTGCATATATATATATATGTGTGTGTATATATGTGTATATATATGTGTATATATATGTATGTATGTATATACATATGTATGCACACATAAAATGTTAAATTGATACTGCTATTCGTTGTTTTTTTCAATAACAGTCAATAATTATGCAAGCACAAACACCAACTGTCACTCATCGCATAGTATTCATCATTTTTATAATATTCTATTCAATAACATTTTGATCTAGACTACCTGACACTGAAGACAAATAGTTGGTGGGAGTAATAGACAGAATGAAATAGCCTTGTACATAAGGTACGACCTTCAAATTCACACATGGCCCTCTTACACACCGATGATACTTGTTCAATAAGATTGTTCGGCGTCTTTTAAATGAAGCATATACGACTAAAGTGAAATTAGCATAATACACTCGACATGACGAGGGTATGTGAGTGTTTGTCTATATGCATCATGCAAAACGAACGTGTTAAAGTGGCTTAGTGCAGAAGCGTTGCTATCGCGCCTTAAACATCAGTCAATCAGCAGCAACACAGTAACAATAAAAAAGATGAAATAAAAGAAAAGAAAAGAAAAGAATTAAATTTTATTTTAGTTTTTCTTTTTTTTCTTCTTCTTCTTCTTCTTATATTGATTTTGGTGTTCACCGGATATATGTCAGTTACACCTGTCCATAGAATGCCCTTTTCAAATATCATCATCATTATTTCATCATAATTGATTATATCATCGAATAGCAAATATATATATATATATCCTTATATATGTGAATTTAATTGTGCTGCTTCCTACTTGAGATTCACCGGTGAAGGTTTTTTTTTATTATTATTACTTATTTTTATCTAATCTACTTATTGAAATAGAAATAATCAACTTACCATATCATTTTTGTTTTCAACAAAGACACTTAATTTTTTTAGAAATGAAACAACAAGAATAAGTAAATCATTATTATCACGATCAAGAGCATGAATAAGTTGTGTAATTATTGTTTTATTACGCATTTTTAATTCAACTTTAAGATCTTCCGCTAAATTTAATAATAGATAGAATGCCACTAAAGATAAAAAAAAAAGATAGAATATGATAATTGATTTAAAGAAACAAACAAAAAAAGAACATATCAATATTTTTTACCTCGTAAAAATTGTTCCTGTTTTCGTATGAGTACTTTATATTTATTGTCAATAGTAATGTTTGCACGAGTATCACGTTGTTTTTTCTTTTGTTCACGACCCATTTCTTCCATCCATTGATCATATTTTTTCATTTCAGCTTCAATAATCTTTGATAAGACAACAAGAAAAAAAATTTCTTTTTTTTTTTTTTGTGTGTTTATATTTATATAAATTCTTACAGTCATTGTTTGTGCACCAATACGATATTGTGATACAAGTGGATGAAAATCAGTAAATGATGAAAAACAAAAAAATATATAAACTATATTTGTTGCTAATTCAATACTTTCATGCCATTCTTCTTTATAAACACGTGTTAAAACATTTAAAACACTTTCTAAATATTAATGAATAAATGATATATATGTAAATTAATATTTATTTATATTTTACCCTTTTGTATAATCTCAGAAAGATTATCAGGATTTCGTGCTAATTGTAAAATAAGTGCTGATCCTTTTATTTTATCTTGAACATTTTCATATAACATTTCAGCATAATCATCAATATCATTTAATGATGCTGTTTCATTAATTTGTGTATCAATGGATGGTTGTTCAAGTTCATCAGATATTGGTTTTTGTGAACCACCTGTTGTTGAATCACTTGGTAAATTTGTATCACGACGATTTTGTAAATAGAATAATAATTGTTCAACTTCTAATAATTTTGTTGGATGAATTAATTTACAACGATTAATTACTTCTTTAGCTAATGCTCGAATATCAGTTGATGGACCAAGACTTTTCACACGAATTCTATAAATAATTAAAAAACAAAACAATATTTCTTTTTCAATAAAAAAAAAAAAAAGATTTAAATAATGTTAATCACTTGCAAAATATAATCTAAAGAGATTACTTAAAGGTTAACAATGAGAAAAAATCATGTTTTTTCTACTATAATCTTTGATTTTATGAACTAATAAATCTTAGATTTGATTCTATATAAATAATTTTTTTGTAGTATGAAGAGTCATATTATACAATCACATTATCATTTAAAAATTAAATAGCCTTATTTGAATTAAAAAAAATAACATTATTGAGAGCTGTTTAAAACCCCCCAAAAAAACTTTATATTAATTGAAACCATCGCCAAGATTTAAAACTATCAATAATCAATATTAATGTTAAGTAAAAGATAACAATCAAACTTCTTCTATGAGTTGTTACTAATGGAAATATATAAACATGTTTTTGATAAATTTAAAGTCAATAAACTATCGGTATAGCCAGCTATCAATCACCTACACATAGGAAAAGTTCAGACTTAAAAATGAAGAAAACTGAGATTAACATTCATGTGAAACTTATTCTATTCTTGAGCAACATTGACTGCTCTAGGTAGACTAAATCTTTCTTAGAATATATAACTCAAAAACTTATGTAAAAGATAGTAGTGAAATACATCATCGATAGATATGGACAAGATGGTACTGTTCTTGCCAAGATTGAAACCAGTACTTGTTCATTGTGAGTGATATTTTTGACGGTCGTGTAAGACTTACGTAAAATGTCAAAGTCTCACGATTCGCACGTTCTAAAAGTTTATATAACACTTATTGGCATAACGATCACTTCACAATATTTACTGTTACAGTTTTGATGGTAAAATAAATACTTGCTTTTTCTCATAAATCCAGAGTTATTGAATACATAAAGTGTTACGAAGTATTACTAGATTCAAAAAGTAGTAAATCTCTAAGAGGGAGGATGTTAAAGGTCGTGTGAGGTGTCTCGAGTTCATTGACATAACTACATCATGATATATCACTTTTTGCTAGTACATATATTTCTAAAGGTGAAACTAGGATCAGAGATTTTTCTGACCGAAAGTGAGATCAGGATCAAAAATGCTTGATTCCACTCATCACTAATGATTAATCAATAGAAAAATATTCTTTAATTAGTTATAAATCGATCGAATACGAAGTACTCTTTCAACATACGACTCTTCGTACAAATGTTAGATATTTACAAACTAAGATAATGAGTTGAAAAATGATCTCTACTTTTTTTTTGAAATTCTATAGAGAAATCCGCTTAGAGTGTATTTTGTTTGCTCATGAAAGTTTATTCATTGGACTCAAATGAAAAATATGCCATTTGATGCAAAACTCGATGCTGGTGACAAATATTTGGTTGCTTTTAACTTTTTTGTCCCTTTCATCCTAGTTCAAACTGCATGTTTTTGAAAAAGAATGAAATTGCGTCATGAACACTATTTTTATTTTGTTATTTGATGCAGTTATGCTTGTTAAGAAATGCTCAGATATGCTGAAAGGTCGTTAAAACCCGAATCAATTTTGCATAAAATTGTAGTTCTATATCAGTTTTGTTTCGTAGAAAAATGCTAAACTATCAGTTGAACTAAAAGTTCCATTTTTTGACACTTCGTAATGGTCGATATTTTATGAATAGCGACGCTAGAACTATAAGAAAAATCAATGAAATTTTTATTGATACGAGAGATCTAAATGACATTGATCCATCATAGAAATTTTGAAGAATTTGATTTTGCTATTGACGAGAAATAGATGTTACAATGTCAAAAAAGTAATGAAATTTCGCAACGCTTGGTCACATTGTCGTTTAACACTTAAGGGCGTCCTCGGCAAAAGTTACTATTTATCAGAAACATCGAAATTAAAATAAATGCATGAAAAGATAGTTTGAACTTCGATCTTTCACAAAGAATTATATATTTTTCATTGTTTTTTTTCTACAAATTTTCGCCATCTTTTCCTTGAAAAATATGCTCATTTTTCAGAAAAAAACAGAGTACATTTTTCCTTTTTTCTCTGTTGATGTATTTCTGATAGTGCGGCCTAGAATTCTTGGAATAGTTCCATTGTAAACTATCGATCCTTTTTTTATTTGAAAGAGTATGCAAATTTGAAGTGCCTGGCAGAACCCATGTTTTGAATTAAAGTTTTTTTGTTATAATATATTAAAAAAAAAACAGTACTTCTATCAATAGAGGACAAGGGAGAACAGGCGGACTTCTGTACTTCTTGTACTTCTTTGTACTTCTTCGTACTTCTTGGTACTTCTCTGTACTTCTTCGTACTTTTGTACTTCGGAAGTACAGAAGTCCGCTTGTTCCCCCTTGATAGAAGATCATTTTTTACCAGATATGAAAATTGTCATCTTTGTTCTCTGCATAAAAATAAGCATTTTAACAAAAATGTATTGGAATCTGACATTTTCTTTCAAATGAAAAAATGACATCTATAGAATGAACGCTGGCAAGGAACTTCTAGTTGCCAAATGATCTATTTTTCATTTGTATATGTTAAGTATCTTTCGAAAACATCATGGTATATGATTGGAAATTTCATGCAATTTGAATTTACTTATCCCAAGATCGGTTTATGAAGTAGAGGCTTTAATAGTGTGTTTTTCATATAAAAATACTCACATTTTCTGTGCATCTTTCTTGTCTCCAATCATCGTATTTTGATATTCATCGAGCACTGTTGCTTCAATTGAATAATTAACAATAAGTGCTTTTTCAGTTGGATGAACATCAATCTGACCACCACGAATACGTCTGTAAAACGAGAAAAAAATGAACTCTTCGTTTATGTCAAAAATATCAAATCATATAAATATGTTATTACTAATCTTGAATAACTGACCTCTTGAGATATTTAGCATCTTCAGCTGAATATAAAGCCATTGTTGAAAAAATTATCTAGAAAACAAAAATAATCAAATATCTTTAGAAGTGTTAAGAATCATGTTTTTTCTTCTAAACAAGCAAGTGTCAATTCATTGGTTGTTAACATCGCACCATGTTGCTAAGTAGTTGTCCTTTATTTGATAAACGTAAAATACTTTGATCTGTTCATACAGAAAGAAAATTTTCTTATTATTCAACAATAAAAAATTCATAATATTTAATTAAGACGATTCATTTTCCATCATAGAGGTTTTACTATGGTTAATCAGACGATGATGGTGAAAAAGAAGGTTGGTTGAAGACGAGTACAAAAAAAGATTAATTGATTTAATCTAGTAATGGCTACTACAACGACTGCAGTACCACCTTCCATTCTTAAACCATCAGCTAGTTCAATAGATTCTTCCAAATGGCCAAATGATCCTTCTGCTATTGACAAATATAATTGGTTATTACATGTTATGTATGGTCGTGGTGAATATGACCGTATTCAACAATTTATTCGTATTCAACATCAGAAAAATGCTTATATGACTTATATTCAAGCACTTGTCCATCGACAAGAAGGACGTATTGTTGAAGCACTTGATCTATTTCAAACATGTGTTGTTGAAAATCCATCTTTAATTAATATAAAACAAGTTGCAAAATCTTTAGCATTACTTGGTCGTTATCGTGTTGCTATTGATGCATATAAAGAAGCTTTAACAAGAGTAAATAATGATTGGGAAATATTTCATAATTTAGGTTTATGTTATACACAATTACGTGAATTTACAGAAGCAAAACAATATTTATTACAAGCATTACAAGTTTCAGAAATTCAAGAAGCATCTTATTTAGCATTGGGAAAAATTTATATGTTAGAAGGTGAACGAGGTGAAGCTGAAGCCATATTTGAACGAGGTGCTAGACGTAATCCAGAATCACCAACACTTTTTACTCAACTTGGTCTTTTAGCTTTTGAAGTAAACATTTTATTTAAATATTTAAAAAAAAACAAATATTTTCTTTTCTAGAGAGCTCATTATACAAAAGCATTTGAATGTTTTGGTACGGCATTAACATTTTGTCCAACACATACACCTGCTATAATGGCAGCATGTCAAGTTATACAAAAACATGGTGATGCTGATGTTGCTTTATCAAAATATCGTATTGTCTATGGACGAAAACCTGAATGTGCACAAGTATGGAATAATATTGGCATGTGTTTTTTTTCGAAAAAAAAATTTGTTGCTGCTGTTAGTTGTTTAAAACGTGCCAATTATTTAGCACCATTTGAATTATATATTTTATATAATTTGGCACTTGTACATTTATATTTACAACAAAATGCATCAGCAGCAATTTTTCTTCAATCAGCAATTCGAATTAATCGAAAACATGCACCAAGTTATGCATTATTAGGTAGAAGATCTACTAGGCATTTTAAAATATAATGTGTTTCATTGGTTTTTTCTTGTATAACTTTTAATAGAAACATCATAGAAACCTGCAGCCATTGAAATTTGATTAGTCGATTACTGACTGATCAAATTTCAATTGACTCCGAGTTTTTTCTTTTGAATGATGAAAACTCATTGGTCTCTACAATGTTTCTATCAAAATTTATTCAAACAAACTGTGAATTATATTATATTTTGAAATGAACAATCGATTTAAAAATAGATTATTAATTTTTTATATATAAATGTAGGTGTGGCATTATCAAAACTTGATGAACCAGAAAATGCTTTACGTGCTTATACATATTCTCTTAAACTTGATCCAACAGATCCAATGGCTTTACTTAATTATGCTATTTTTCAAAGTAATACAGGTGTACCTAAATCAAAAGTTGATACTACTCTTCAACAATTTTATAAGAATTATACGGAACGAGCTACTTCAATTAATCAACGTGAACTTGATGAATCCATGTTAGATATTGCTAAAAGACTAGTTGCTCCAACTTCAGGAGTTCAACCACAATCAACATATTCATCACAACCACCACCACCACCTGTTCAATATGAACAAGATGATGTACCAGCACCATCAACATCACTTTTTTCACCACGAAAACCACATGAAGTAAAATCAAATGATGAAGATGCACCTGAAAAACCTGTCCAAGAGGTACCTTTAATTAAAACAAAGATTTTTGATGATGGACGTCATAGACAGAGACGAACAAAACAATTATCTACTGCATCAACGAATGTTCAACCTGTGCAAAACGAAGAACAAGATGAATCTACAGTTTTCTAATTTTTTTGTTTTCTTTTTTTCTTTGTGCAGAATCATTTATTTTATGAACAACACTTGTTATATAACACATTTATTTCGTTTTAATTAACTTTGTGAATTAAACTGCTCTAGTTTTATATTTTGATGATATTATAAATAATTATAAGCAAAAAAAAATTTCCAATTGTGTTATATGCATTCAAAGACTTAAATCTTAATCAATCGAATAAACCAATTTTTATTATTTACAGATTTTTATATCATGTCATTCCGTGTTGAAACAGCTCCTAATCAATATACTGATTATCAAATATTTTCTGCTGCACGATTTGATAATATTGGTCGACAGTTTCTTTCTCTTGTTAATCCAAATTATGGAACTGTTCCAAATGAAAATAAAATCGTTCCAACTGAAAATAAAACCGTTCCAAATGAGAAAAAACCTGCTTCAAATGACAAGGAAACGGTTCCGAATGAAAATGAAACTGCTACAAATGAAAATGAAACTGAAAGTGTTCCAAATGAAAATGAAACTGCTACAAATGAAAATAAAGCCAGTACAAATGAAGATGAAATTCCTACAAAGCAAAATGAACCAATCCCTAAAAATATGATTCAACAACCATCTGATCTTTGTCGACCTCGTCAGCAACAAAGCTCATATTACATAGCTAATCAAGAGGTAATCAAACAGATTGAAGAAAATTTTATTCCACATCAATCGACTTTACCATATATGTCACCAACAACAAATAATATTGACACTGATAGTCAATTAACAACATCAATAGCAGATTGGCAAGCAACAAAACAATCAACAGAATCTACACGATATCTTTCATCACAAATTGTTACAATTGTTCAATGTCGTTCAACATTATCATCAGTTTCTTCTTCATCATTATCACCACGAAATAGTCGACATGCTGTTCGTTTATTTATTAATTCTCAAAAGCAACAACAACAACAACAACAACAACAAATGGATACATTTTTAGATATTGTTAATGAAGCACTTTTACGTGAACCAAATACAATTAAAACATTATGGGATACAAAAGGTGAACAAGTAAGAGAAATAAAATATAACTGTTATTGTTACAGTTATTTTCTTTTTTGCTAATATGTAATTAGATTACTGATCCGATGGATCTACTTCGTCGTGGTCGTCTCTATTTTGCATCTCGTGATACCAGTATTACTCTCGATGAATTAAGAATTTCTGACAGTGATCTTGCTTCAATCAATCGACTTGAAATCGTGCGTAAACAATTGTCTCAACCGGCACATTTTGTCGAAAAACCTGCTAGTAAGGAACAAATAAATATTCCATCGCGTAAAAGTACACCATTTGATGCTGATGAACGACGTTCAGCAACTGTACAAGCACAAGCTATGGTTTATAATGATCCACAAACATTTCCTGAAGTATTTTTACGTCATTATACAGTTGGAGAAGTATTAGGTGATGGACGATTTTCCGCAGTTTTTGAATGCCAAGATAAAGCAACTGGAATTCAATTAGCATTGAAAATTATTGATAAAACTAGATGTAAAGGATATGTAAGTAGATTAAAAAAATATTATTTTTAAGGTTTCCTTCAAAAAAAAAGTTAGTTTCTGTCCGATTTATTAAAATTACGATACAAGTACAGACAGAATATTCTTACTTTTCTGCTGTCTTTTGGTATAGTATGCTACCTACTGATACACTTCTTAGCCTAATATTAGCCATGGGACTATGATTATTTGTAGCTTTGGAGAGAACGCCGGTTTGAGGCAATCCTTCAGCTTTCCATACACATTAAATAATTACATACTAGCCACGAACTCAGATTTATGTCACGGTTTAGTCAGCATGCTTAAGAATGGATGATCCAAGGCTAACAGTCGTAAATGACTTGTCCACAGTCATTTCATAATCGACAATATCAAGGTTTTAACATAGTGCCTATGAGATAACAGCCAAACCATGTAGCCACTCAGTCATGACGACTGCAAAATTAACATGGATGCTTGAAAAAATTTTCCAAGGTCTGATCTTTCATAAATCACATGATTTTTTTCTATTCGACATTTTCTTTTTTGAAAAAATTCGTTCATGATTTTTGTCATCACCTTATTGAAAATATGATGTTTTCAGAAAGAGTAGGAAATTCTTTCTGTTTTTTCTCTGTTTATTCTTTTTTGATTGAGTATCCCAGATTTGTCAAGGAAGTTTCATTGTCACTACTCACTGTTTTTTTCTGTTTAAAAGAGGATGTGAAGCTACAATGCCTAGCACAGCACGTTTTTTTTTTAATTAAGTTTTTATTATTTTATAAAAAAGAAAAGTACTTCTATAAATAGATGACCAGTTTTTTCAGAGTTTTTCAGGATAATGAAATTCTCTTCCTTTTTCTATGAATAAAACATAAGAACTTAAAGAACAAGGACTATGTCAAACACTACAGCCTTATATGTTTTTTCAAATGAAAAAAAAATTATAGATATAGAAATCTCTAGAAAACGTAATGATCTAGGGTTGAAAATTTTAACAGAATCTCTCCACAACAGTTTCAACATGTCTTGAATAATGTCATATGATTTGAATATAACTGTCTCAAAGTGGATTTCTAAGGAATGAAGGATCTTGATTATTGGAAGAAAGATAGTTTATTATTCTAACTAAAAAAAGAAATTATTTTAGGAATTTCTTATTGAAAATGAATTATCAATTTTACGACGTGTTAAACATCCGAATATTATTAAACTTGTTGAAGAATTTCAAAATGAACTTAAATATTTTCTTGTTTTTGAATATGTATCAGTAAGTATGAATTTATTCAATGAAAAAAAAAAATGTTTTTTATCTATATAGAATGGTGATCTATTAAAAGCTGTGACAACAATGAATAAATATAGCGAACATGATGTTGCTTTAATGTTAAGTCAAATAGCTTCGGCTTTGAAATATCTTCATTCATTACAAATTGTTCATCGAGATGTTAAATTAGAAAATATTCTTGTAAGAATATATCCTAGATAATTGTATTTAATTGTTTTTTTTCATTAGATGGCAAATTATCCTGATCAAAGTGTTACATTAAAATTAGCTGATTTCGGTTTTGCACTTTGCTTAACGGATCCAATACCGACTACTACATCACATAGTGATAGCCTTTGTGGTACTCCAATGTATTTAGCACCAGAAGTAATTCAAAATAGAGAGTAAGTCAAAGAATAAGAAGGTTCGATGGTGTAGTGGTTATCACGTCTGCTTCACACGCAGAAGGTCGCGAGTTCGAACCTCGCTCGAACCTTTTTTCTTTTTTATTTTCTTACAATCGCAGAATAAGAAGTGGAAATAGAAATGCTGTAGTCTAAAAATAGACTCTTCAAAAAAAAAAAAAATAATAAGATTGTCAAGTAACAATTAAATTTAGAAAACATTTTATCTCTCTGATGTTTTTAATGATGATGAGTATATTGAATAGTATTTCTATAACCTTGACGAAAAATAAAACAAATGAAAATTTTCGAAGTTGTTTATCTTTATCAACGGAAGCAAGGTTATATAAAAAAAAATTTTTTATAATTTAAGCTATCGAATTGAAAACGATATGTGGTCACTTGGCGTTATTGCATTTACTCTTCTCAGTGGTATGGCACCATTTGATGGGTAAAAGAATGATTCAAAAAGAAAAACAACAAATCAATTATAAGCTTTTTTTTTGTTTCAAAACTATTTTAGAGATAATGATGATGATATTATATCAAATGTCATTAATAAACCAATTGATTTTAGTCTTTTACCTAAAATATCAATGGATTGTCGAGAAGCTTTAATGTCAATGCTTGAACGAAATCCAAAAAAACGGATAAGTGCTAGTGAATTATTACAACATCCATGGATTAAAGTTTGTTTCATTCTATTTGAATAAATTTATTTGAAACTTCTATTTATAGAGTGAAATACAAAGACAAATGGAACCTCTTAATGAAGGATTAACAGCACGACGAAAGAAAGGAGCAGCACAAAAACAACCAATGTTGACGGTAATATTTAATTAGATGTACTGAAAATTAAAACAGATATTTATATGTGATATTTTTAGTTTTCATCGGTTGAATATTCTCATTCAATGCAAGCATCGAATGTTGGCGGTCTTCTTGGTGATATGGATGAATATTAGAAAAAAATGATTTTTCTTTGTACTTTTTTATTAAAGAATCTCATTATACACTATGCAGCATTTTTCTGATTATTTATTATTAGATATCCCAAATGAATAAATGACTATTTCTTATTTTGTTTATGATCGAATAGTTTTTCTGTCATGAAACAATAGTTTGTGAACTTCTTCTATCAATAATGAATATTTAAATTTCGATAATATGATCTAGCAATTTTCAAAAACTGAATGGATTTGAAGTGATTGAAATAAATTTAAGTTCATCACAATGATTAAAGACTTTTTAACGATGCAGAAAGATGGCAATCGACATTTAGAATTTTAATAAATTTTTTTTTCAATATCAACAATTTAAGACACATCAACACGGGAACAGAAACCTCGTTAGCGCAGCCATTTTGAAACTGAAATATAAAACTCATATATTACGTATAAGTTAGCCAATAATCTAGTATAATTTTTTTATGTACTAAAATATACTTCAGAGTTTGAAATTAGTGAAATAAAAGCATGAAAGGTTTACATAATGCATCAAAAAAATGTAGCGTTGATTAGTGATGACAACAATCACAATGGATGAATTAATCGATGACTCTCAAAATATTTCTCACGAATTGAGGCAGTTACAGGATAGATAATTAATGACTAACAACGATAAGAAAAGAAAATACTGTCTCACTATTATTAGCACTCATATCAGCACCTTAATTCTTCACTTTTTTTCCTTTGTTTACTTTACCAATCTCATATTTTTACCTGCGTAACTATAATCGAGAGCAGGATTTAAATGATTGGCTTATATATGTGATTTCTATAGAAACATCTTCTATGATCTTTAATTCTGATGGTTAAGACTTTTAATGAGAAGAGGAAGCCGCAAAACTTTGACTTGAAACTTACACTCAATATCTTCTTCGAAAATATATGTGAGCTTCACAAATAAAGTTTTTTCCTTCTCTTTTATAGTTATGTGAACTGTTTAAAATCTCTACTGCTGTTTTTTTTTTAAAATAATTTTCTTAAAATTCATAAAACATTGAATAGATAGACGTTCATATCAAGGACATTTTACACAATCGAGTGAATATTTCTTTTTGTATAATAAAATGATTCATTATGTTTTGTTTTTCAATGTTATTAATCTGAACAATTTTCATTTTAAAAAAGAGTTTTCAACTGTATTTCACTCGACATACAAACAATCACAAACAAACAAAAACAGAATATTTTCAAACAATATCATTTTGTTGACGATTCTTGAGATTTATGGGAAATAAGAATCGGATTGAAAAGTTTTATAGCAGGAGTAATAGACGATGATGATGATGACAACGGTTTAATTATATTGATTTGTTTAGGTACAAGTGGTACTGATTCACCTTTATTTGTGGATGGAACGGAATTTGAAAGATGAATATCACAATCAGTTTTTGACGCTGCTACTAATCGAATAGTAGATGGCGATATTGAATTCACTTGTTGTTCAACATTTGATAGGTTTGGTTTAGCAATGGAAAGACGAATGACACGAGCATTATTTGTTGATGATGGTGTAATATCACGATTTGACTAGAAAAATATTGCATATGAGAATCAAATTGAAATGAATTGTTTTTAACTTACATTTTGTGTTTCATTTAAACCAAAATTTGTTGATATAATTGTTGTTACTTTTTTTAATTCATTATTTTGTGCATCTCGAACAATAATTGTTTCATTATTTTCTCTAGTAAATGAATGTATATTTTGTTTTGTTATTGTTGATCCACCCATAATTGGTTTTAATTCAATAAATGATGTACATTGAGCTTGTTGTTTTGTTTCATTATTAACTAAATAAGTTCGAGTATATTTATCATAACGATTTGTTTGAGTTGAACGACGACGTAAACGACGATTTTGTTCATTGAGTTTTTTTAAGTCAACTAATGTCATTGTTGATTGTGTATTTGAAAGTGATAATGATGATATTGGTTTTGGAAGAATTAATGTTCCAGTTTTAATTATATTTGATTGAATAGAAGGCGAAGACGGTTTAGAAAAGGATTTTGTAATTAAATCTCTCATTGCTTAGAAGAAAAAAAAAATATTTTTTTTTTGAAATATAAGAAACAAATAATCTTACCATTTGCATCTCTTATATTTGTTTTATTTTGTTGAATTAAATTATAAAAATTTAAAATATCTGGTGATTTTGAAAGAATAATTGATTGTGTATTATTTGTAGAATTAACGGAAACAACATGTGCAATCGTTGATGTTTTAGATAATAATACTTTATCATTTTCATTTAATGCATATTTAAGTGGATCAATTATTTGTTGATATTTTTTTTTATATTCTTCTTTAGAATAATTTGGTGATACACTAAGATTTGGTAACGATGCATGAACACTAACAATTAATGCAAGATCAAGTACACATTGTGTTACAGATATAACTATTGTTTTTCCCCACTGATAAATAAGTTCATTAAAAAAACTAGTATCAATATTTTGTAATAAAGATGCATTTCGTTGTTGTTGTGTTTTATTTAAGATAGTTGGAGTCATTAAACGACGAGTTGGAGTTGATGCCGGAGAAACATTTACAATTACGGGTAATGATGAACTAAATAAATAATTCTATGAAGAAATTTTGTTTTTAATGTGTGGCTCATGCTCTGTAAAAACTTTATCAGATTTATTTCTGTAGAAACAGTAGAGCCAGAGTACTAACGCCTTTCTTGTTTTCACTAGGTATTGAGAGGTGGCGCCCTCACTCAATGTGTCATATTATGAAAAATACCAGTAAAGTAGTTGAACTCTCCACTAATCTTCCTTGAACAGAAGAAGAAGTAAGATTCTAGTTTCGGCGTTGGCTACTCTACTAGCTTTTGGTATCCTAGACAATACAGCAAACGTAGTAACGGCGTTATCTGCTACTATTAAGTCAACAGAAAAGTGTCGCTGGTGTTCTGACTCTGACGATATTCTGTAGAAAGATAAGAAGTAAAAGTAGACAACGAATAGTCAACACGCAGAAATGATCGAACTTTCGAAGTTATTTTGTTCTAAAACTTTGATGTATTTTAAACAATTCTAAAGACAATAGAACAAAAGTGACGAGAGTTTTGAGTACCTTGAAATTTGCTCTTTCTCATCATACCGTTCAAATTAGTTAAAATCTGCTACTTTTCATTTTTTTTGAAAGCCGAATGCAACGCGAAAAACGATCATTATTCAATGTTTTCCAGAAGCTCTACAACTACAGAATTGATAGAGGGTTTTCAAGGACTAAAACATGCATATGCTCTTGTTTCTTTTTGTTACTCAGTTGAACGAAAGTATGTAGATAAAATGGTTTTCAGCTATAAAACTTGACTTATTTCTACATATTGAGTACTTTTTGTTTAATTTTTCTCTTCATCTCTCAACAAAAATCAATAAAGAATTTGACGATATATATTTTAGAAAAACTATAAGATCTTCAGATTGCGAAGAAAAAAGTTTAAACTCAAAATATTAAGAGATAGATTCGTTAGAATTCAAATCTATTTACTCAGTAGAATCTTTAAATGATGTTGGTGAACATTCTGGACAAGAACATTTGATTAGAAAACGTTGTTGAGGATGTCGTCGATCATGTATATGAATAATAATTGGACCTGATTCACTTAAAGTTTTTAAAAACCATGATGAATTTGTATTTGAAATATTTGTTGGTGGACACATTGTAGATATTTGTGATGATGTAGAAATTTGAATATCGAAATTATCAACATGTATATCAATTTTTGTCCAATTAACACGAAGACCACGAAGTGCCTAAAAGAATATTTTAATTTATAAATTCCTTTTTTCTTTTTTTTTTTTTGTTCATCAAACTTCTTCAATTTTTGCTAATATTTTAGTACGATGTGGATGCCAATCAGCTGTACTATAAATAGCTAATTGAACTTCAATTATTTGATGTTCACGAGAACGAATTTTAAGTGAATATGTATCAGGATCATGACCACCTATAAAATTCAATATGAAATATTTTCTATCTATTGAATTTTCAATATAATCTTACGTCCTAAAGCAGCTAATAGTTTTGCTCGTGCTTTTTGAAGCGGTGTTTGTGTAATTGGTTCAAATTCAATAATAATTTGACTATTTATAATTTGTTGTGTATCATTATCATCATCATTTTCAGTTTTAATAGTTGGTAAACGTTCACCAAATTGTTGTTCAATTTCAGCATCAGTTAAATGAAGTGTTGATGAAATTTGAGAAGTCGATGGTAGGGAACGTTTTTTTCGTGTAGGTGTTTTGACTTTTTTTGATTTTGTTATCAATTCACTTTCTTCAATGTATAATTGTTTTCGTTTACGAATACGTTTTGGACGTGAAGATAATATAGAATTTGATTCTTCAGTATTTGAAGATTGATGAAGAAGATGAATATTTTGAACATAACGATCTAAGTCATCAGAACTGCAAGAAATAAAAAAGAAATATGTTTTTTATTTGATTAACTTTTATCAATGTTGACCTACTATTTAGAAGTATCAAAACCTATTGAATTTGTAGAAGTCATCTATATAAAAACAAAAAAAACCTATGATAAGAAATTTTTTTTGTTGTTCTTGAACAATCATACATTTAATTCAATGGGCTCTTCTTTTAGTTCTACAGTGAGCTAAAATAGAATTAGAACCAAATAAATTAAAATTTTATATTGAATAAAAATCAAAAACATACTTGTTCAGATTCTATAGGTTCATTTTTGATTATGGATGGTTCAGCTAATTCAATTGATATTGTAGCTTCTAATTAGAAAAATTGTTAAAGATTTTTTTCTAAATTAAATTTTTTTTACCATTATTCATTGATTGTTTATCATTTAAAGTAGAAAGAATTGAAGTCATATTTTCCAATGTAATTTTATTTGAATATGTTTCATTTTGTAAACATTCAAATATGTTAGTTGATGACTAAATATTTAAAAAAAAAAGTATAGAAAATTAAATTTTTGTAGAAAAAATTAAACAAACATCCGATAAATTTTGATTATATTTAGAAACAGATTGACTTGATTTAGATAAGTCTTGAATATTTCGTCGTTGTCTTTTATTATTATTTATTTCCATATTTAATTTAATAGGTGTTGTTGATTTTCTTTTTTTATTATCTAACATGAAGAATATTAAAAATTTTTAAAAAATAGATAATTAATAAATTTACCAGGTGATTGAATAATACTTTTGTTAACTTTTACTTTAGGTGACCAATTAATCGGTTGATTCGTATTGAATATATCTTGTGAAGATGTGCAAGATGAATTCAAATTTTCAGTTACTTTTGTCATATGATCAGGTAGATCGATAAGAAATTGTTCAGCAAATGATTTCATATCCATGTCATTATTATCTTCTTCAATATGAAGGCTAGTTTCATCATCAATATTAATCGATTGTTTTTGTTGTTTTTCATTTAGTTTACTATGAAATTGTTGAATATCATCAATTGTATTAAATGCAGCAAAATATTCATCATCAATAAGATGATATTCGCTTGATGAGATTTTAGTGTCATGTTCATTTATTTGTTGAACAAACGTTGAAAAAAGCGACATTCGTGGCTTCTTTTTGCCCATTTTAAGTAAAAGAAGATCGACAAATTGATTTGTTTCGTTAATTTCCTAAATGCAAAAACTCGCGGCCAACGTGGCCTCCGCAACGAACGGACCCAACAAAGCTATGATTTGCCCAGTAGAGTAGCAACTCGTTGCCAATTGGAGAATGATACTTTGTTGCAAGAAATTAACTAATAAAAGATAAAATAATCAAGAAAAAGTTGTTTTTCATAATCATATGATGTATAAAAATAAGATGAACGAGAATTATTGAAATAGATATTCATCACAATAGATGACACTAGTAATTAATTGAGATGGTCAAGAGTTCTTTCTAACTCATACAGGCAACAAATACATGTAAATTTTCTTGGAACATACGTATTTCTAACAATAATATTGATATAGTAAATGACATATAAATTAAATACTAATTATTGGTGAAATATCATAATAGGAAATGTAATAGTTACAATACCAAAAACAATAATACAAATATGAATCTAATAACAAATCAACGAGCGAAAACTGCTCTACAATAGCCACTATAACATGTATTAAAGGAACATATCAGCTCAACAAGACTTTATTGTTTTACTACTCAAATCATTGATTGTTTATGGGACTGAATATGAGGTATAGGTATTTTTGCAGTTGGGTGTGTGTGTTCTGTTTACTCTTATATCTACAACCGAATCCTTCTGTTTTAGCAAAATCAGAATGGCATTCTTTTTAAATATTGAATTATTATGGTGTGAAGCACTCGATAACAACCGATCGTTTACTACTCTTCCAGCACTCATGCTTACCGGTTTTTGGCAATAGTATTCAGAGTCTAACTTATAATCTGTTCTTACTAATGACCAAATATAATTAGACAAGCTACTAAACGAAGTGAAACTAATAAAAGTGAATTGAATCAGAAAAAATTAACATTTTTTTTGCATACACAAACTTCATTAGGTATTCTAGATGGCAGAAAAAAAAATTAACGTAGAACATGTGACTTCATTATTAAGAGTTAAAGATTCTTCATTCAGTTCCATCAATTCGAGGTCATGTAGTATAGAAAAATCTTAAAGTCGAAATCGAGTTGAATGACGTATCAAGAAATACTATTATTGAATCTCGAACATAGAAAATTTTATTAGACTCAATATTTGTGGAAAAAAATATATTTATTTTGAATATTCTATATAAGAACGAAAGAGAGAGAGAATTTACTTGGATGGTGAACACTGAAATTGATGTTTCTTGACTCGGTCGTACAAGTAAAGAGTGATGCAAAAGTTTCTGCACAAATGTCAGTTCATTTTTGATCGATTAAAGCATGTGTAAGTAAATTCAAAAGTACTTGTACGAAATCTACGTCGAAAGCTCTTTCTAACGATATGATCAAAAAGACTTCTTTCATGTCTTATCTTTCCATAGGAAGTACATCTTTCAACAGCACTAAAATACGGTTTGTAAAAGTGAACGAACACAAAAGAAAGGATATCTCTATTCTCAACAAACCATGTCGAAAATATTATGAAGTTCTTTTTGAGAGAACTCATTGTCGGATCTCTAGCCATGTTCAGATTGATGTTGATATTGTTGTGCTCGCTCTTCGACTTTGTCATTTTTAGTCATTGGCTCAGACATACTCATAGAACAAATATCTTGAGTGATTTGTAGCCATCATTTCAACTAGTTTTATCAGCAATGGTGTCGTTCCAGTCTTGAAAAATTATATTGGTTCATCATCATTTTCACATTCAGATTTGATGTTATCTCTTACATCATTGATTTTTAAATTGCCGATCATACCATCTAATGTAATATCGCATGGTTTCATATTAATTTTGTAGTGAACTGAAAGACAGACGTATCTAACCGAATAAAACAGTACAATACTATTGATTGCTTTGGGCAAAATAGATAAAATGCTGAAAGACATATTTTTTTTCGTATCCAATACTTTGAGCTGGTTTTACAGACTACATTTTAGTCCTGTTTAAAGATGTGCTCTCTACTTAAAGATAAGTCATGATAAAACTTTTTTGAACATACATTTAAAAAGAACTTTCGATGAAGATTCTTTACAAGTGCTTTCTAGTTTATCTACACGTGTTTTAGTCAATGAAAAATAGATCAGCCTTTATGCAAGAACTTTTGCATCATCCGCTATTATATTCTTAGTTAGTGATGAAAGACACTGTAAGATGTTTTTTCTATCGGCACATGAATACTCACATAATTTTTGTTGAAGATTCGAACACATATAGCTTTCCAATTCATGGTTTTTTTTAGGAAATTTAATTATGATACATATAGTTTTGTTGAAGGAATACCATTTTTAACTTTGACTTGTTACCATTTATTCTTAGAAAATTTTCATTGAAATTGTATAATCGAATTGATTTATGTATAGATTATTCGAACATGAATGATTTTGATCAATATAAGTTAAAAGTCTATCATTTATCCATAGGAGTATAAGTTCTTTCTTGTTTGTTCAATCAGAGAATTCTATTCACTCCTACTAATTATGATAAACAGAAGCTTTAAGCATGATCATACTAAACCTACATATCGACACTTCATTCGTCGACAACGAATAATATTTTCCCGACATATATCAATAAGGATCATTGATCTTTGTCTACTCAATTCACAAATTAGCTAGATTATCCAATATAAATATAACTTTTCTAGTTATAAATGCTAACAGATTTGAGTAAAAACAACCGTAAGTCTCATAGTAAACTTTGGCATAAAAGCCTCATTTAGAAAGTTGTAGACTGTATGTTTATGAGAAGAGAGACTTAATAAGTAATCCCAGATGTGTCCTATTGATGGTATTCTTATCGATTTCTTCTTATAAAAATATCTTTTGTTTTCGATCAACTAGCTAGAACAAAACTTTTCTTCTAAATTCATTCAAATGAAGAAGCAAAACATATCTTTATAAAGTAAAGATCGATGAATATAAAAGTCTATTTAAGTTAAACTTGAAGAACTGTATTCTCAACATATATAATTCGACATTGAAAAATCGAAGATCAAGACTACTTTGGACGTTATTTCAAATTGTCGATTTTTATAAGGTACTATCTAGTTTTGAATAAAATACTTTTAATAAGATACAAAGAAAAAAAAAAAGAAACACACGTACGACCGTAAAATCTACAACAAAAGAAAACGATCAAAGAAATATATCAGTTGTATTATTTCGCCTTAGTGTTGTCGTTTCATCAGCAAGTTCTTCATAAACATGTTTAGCTGGACTATTGTTTGCTTGTTCATCTGAACTAGTACTACTCATTATTGATGTTGATGTCATTTGTTCTTTATCCATTTCATTACTGTATTGTGATGATAATGATGTAATGCGTCGTGTTGTTGTTGTACTACTACTTATCGTTGTATCCGGTGTATGAGGATGATGATGATGAAAACAGCAAGTTGGTGGTAGTGGTGCTGTTGGTAATTGTATTAAACCACGACGATACCATGATTGATTGGATGGTAATGATCTAAAACATGTTTGATGAGGACTTCTTTTAAAATGATTATATTTTGATGATGATGATGATGATAATATCGAATTTGAATAAGTTCCATCATCATCATTTCTATCAACATATAAATAATGTTTCTGTTGTTGATGATGACGATGATGATGATGAAATAGTGATGATGATGCACATCGATAACGTCGTCGTTTAGATCGTAAATGACAGAGAAATGCTAATGCCAGTAGGAGACTAGTCGTTAGAATTGTACCAAATAGAAAACCAAATACAATAGAACGATTGGTAAACAGCATGTGAACAAATGCTTGTTTAGATAAAATTGTATTAGATATTGTTGTTATTGTTGTTGTGGTTGTTGTTATTGTTCGTGTTTCTCGACAGTATTTATCGGTACCAAAAGAAGATCGTGTTAAAAGTAAACAAACATAATAGTTTGTATTTGATGGAATATGATGAATAGTATAGTGTTTAAGATATGGTGATATATAACCACTGCGTCGAATAATTTGAGTATTTGATGAAGATTCTTGTTCAAGAATAATTTGAAATTGTATGAATACCAAATAATTCGATGGAAATGTTGGATCAAAATCCCAATAGACTATTAAACTATTATTTTCATAGCTAGTATAAAATGATGTCAAACGAAGTGATGATATTTCAAGACGATTAATCGACTGTTCAGTAATTTCATTGACTAAAAAACAAAATTAAATTCGATTCATATGAAAATCTGTTCCAAACATCGTTTGTTTTCGAAAAAATTTCTTTTTTTGCTTTTCATTATATTCGGAAATATCACAAATGTCTATTCAGAGTTAAGGTCATTTTACTGAAAAGTTACGCTATTGTATGATCAGTATCAATCAATCGAATGACGGTGATTTCATCTGAAGTTTTCTCCATAGATAGGTTTGATTGTGATTGAAGTACTCTGAAAATTTTACTTCAAAAAAATTTTTTTGGCACAAGATATTAGATTTTAGAGAACATCTCAGATTTCGCAAAACAAAAGTAGTTTTCGCGAGAATTCAATATCTCGTGAAGGAAATGTTCTTTTGAATTGAAATTTGCATAAAGTTCTAGTCATAACCAGACCTATCTATGAAAAAAATGTCAGGTTGGAATACTAGTATTTAAATAGTTGGTGTTTATCCGTACAATAATAGCATAAAGCTCCAGTAAGACAACCTTTAATTCCGAAAGAAGGTCCAAAGATACTTTTTCTTTCCGAATTTTTCATATCTCACTAGACTCTACTTATTACATAGATTTCGAACTGTAAAACGATACCCTCGCAAGTCCTTTAACTATGATCAAAATTCTTATAATATTACCACAAAACGATCGAATTATTTCATTAAAGAATACTCAAGAGGAAGAATTTTATATATTCTGCGAGTCATGCAAGATTTCTCGAGTTTATTCGACCTACTAGGAATGCATATAGTATTTTTTGCTAATACATCTATTACTAAGTACAAAAACAGGGTCAAAAATGAT